TTGTTGTTCCTTCTGTATTGCTAGGTTGAACCGAAAGTTCTACCATATAAAAAATCGTAACTTCTTACTAGCACAATATTTTTGCATGGCTAAAACTCTTTTGGAAAGAGCAAATCATGCATTTTGTATAGGTCCCTTGACTGCTATCCACGAAGCTCTGATTGCAGAGATAAAAGTGGAAGAAGAAAATCGCTTCTTTTGGAATTTTGAGGCAAACCCGTTGAAAGTTCCAAAACTGTGCCATAAAACAACCTAGGCTTTTCGATCCCTCTTTCTTGCTGAGCGAAATTCGCGCTATTCGAACCGTTATTTGAAAAGTTATGAGTTTTGAGAAACAATCTCAAAAAATCACTTTTGGGAACTAATTTTTTGGCATTTTTTTCTCGAAATTATAGCTTTTTAAAGAAAAGCTTGATCATGCGAAACTTGTTCACTAGGAAGAAGGAGTCAAGAAACCTAGGTTACTGGCTGTTTTGGATTTTATGGCACAGTTTTGGAATTTTTAACAGGCTTGCCTCGAAATTTCGAAATGGAAGTGATTTCCTTTTTTCCACTTTTATCGCTGCGTCTAGAGCTTAGTAGATAGCAGCCAAAGTGACTTTAGAAAGTGCATAATTAGCTCTTTTCAATAGATTTTTAGTCATGCAAAAACAGGAAGAAGTTACGATTTTTGAAAATAATGCGACAGAACTTTCGGTTCTAACAAGGGAACGATACTTGATGTCCGTGGCCTTTTGAGATTAAACGTATACCATCACAATCATTTTGGAACGCTGATTCCGAATCTGACTTCCTTTTCTGCTAATCGTTTCTCTGAAAGAAATTATGATAGATTTTCGTGTCAATGGTCGCCTAAGAGAAATGCGACCGAGGATGCCTAACTTTCAAAAAGAAGCTTGATAGGCAATGCAAAACTGAAAAACACAAAAGGACTCGAACCTAAACCTATATTAACTTGCGAGGCTATCTCACTAGCTATTACACGACATCTTAGCGGCGGTTTTGGCATTGCGACCACGTCTCCTTTGGTGCCAAAATCCTTCATAACTTCTTTTGAGAAACGATTAGCAGAAACGGAAGTCAGATTCGGAATCAGCGCTCCAAGATGAGTGCAATGGTATACATCTTATCTCAGAAGGCCACGGACACCAAGTATCGTTTCCTTGTAAGCTAACAACTACAAAGTCATAGTGTGCCCCACTCTGTCGTTCCGAAAAGAAAAATTCGCCTCGACATTTTTTAGAGGAGCGCTCCGCAGGTGAATATGACATAACTGCGTAACATAACATTTAACAACTCCCTTACTTCTAATAGGGCCACCTTAGTCAAGTAGGTCAGCGGGCAGCGATAAGCATTTGCGACGTCACCAAAGATATAAAGGTATTGAGGGGGAAGGGGTGAATGATTGGGTGGGGGGGGGGAGAGGGAGAGTGAAGGTTAGGAATACCTATATGGCCCATATGAGATAACGGTGGGTATTTCGTTTGTTTCCTTTCTAAAGAGAGAGGGGGGGGGGCTGTAAAAGTTTGTTGGGGTTTGTTGATGGGCGTGAAGTTGGCCAATCTCTAGAAGTTTTTTTACTCAGCCAGTTTTATATTGAAAACAATCATTGCCTTGTGCAAGCAGAAGGATTTTTTGATTTTTTTTTGTATCACCCTGAGACTCCGAATTTGCACAAAGCGACTGGCATTTTAAGACCATATTGAGCTAAAACCTTTGTTTTTTCGGTGTATTTTTCCGATCCCCGCCCCGTAAAAACGTCCTCTTTGCTTTTCACCGCCAAAACGATACCAGCTGCTCCCACCTGCCGAGCCGTGTTTATCAATCACGACACCCTCTTCAGAGCAAACCAAAAGAGGTAGTTCAGCCACAAAAATGACTGGCTAAATAGGGATAACTGTAGCATGTGCAACAAGATCCGTTACGCTTTAGCCCTAAGGCATATCTCACGCGATTCCAGTCGCTGCGCGATTTGGTACCGGAATGACTGTTCATAAACGGTCGTCAAAGTGCTTTTTCAAGGCAGGACTTGATCAGTTTGCAACAAGTTACAGAAGCTACGCGTCCATGTGTTAAAGGAACGTACACGATAAATATGGAGATAACTGGCAAAGTGTCAGGCCGCGTGAACGTCGCGATTTAACCGAATCGCGCGAGGTATGCCTTAGGCCTTAGACCAACTATTTGTTCGAAAAGGAAAATACGCGATGGCCTTTATGAGCACTTTGTGCTTAGCGCTACAAAAATTTGTCTAGCTCTTTGTTTAATGTTAATAAAAGAAATGAACATGAGACAGTTTATTGCACAGAGGAGAGAAGAGCATTTTCAACTTATCATTTAGTTCTTTCAAACGATGCACAATCCATTTTCTTTGTCGCAGCTGTGAACACAGCTGTTGCAGGTGTCTCCAGGATCGTATACGAGTCTTTCAATTTCATTACCCCTGAATAATGCATTGTGGTTGAGTAGCCAGAAAAAGCTATTGAGCATACGCTGGATTGTAGCGGCAAATGATCACATAATCCGACGAGCATTTGCCTATGGCACATCCTAAATTTGTTGTCTCTGCCCATGCCATCTGAAAAGTTAAAGACTTCTAATTCAATCGTATTCAAAACGAAGATGTTCGTGTCACCTGCGTAAACGTCGCTATAGGTTGGCCAACGTGTTTTGCTCGAAACATTGCTTTCATTCCAATGCCATCGTTAAATCGTACAACTCTCCACCAATTATGGACAGCCTTAAAACACTAGTTTAATATAGACAACAGACCCAAAACTTACGTTTCTGATTCCATCTTCATAGTTTTGCACGTCTTTAACAGGGACACGATGACGAAGTTCTCCCTTTAGCTTTTCATTAGACACATCCTTGGGGCATCCGCGAACCTTATCAATCGCATCTTTTTCCAAGTTGCAGTCCCATTTCTGAAACAATCATGGCTGCTCCCCTGTTATTGTTAGAGTAAGTAAACAGACTAACCAATTTTATCATGTTCTTAGCCGGCGGGAGGAGATGTCCGCTAACTTTTGCGACTAGTCCCTGTGCGAGCTGGCCTCTGAAGGTGCTAACTTACGATAAGAACAAAAATTGAGAAAGGCGATACTGTACTGCCATAAATGGACCTTTGAGCTCACCTGCGATAGTTATGCATATTCGTATAGTTTTCTCTCAAGCTGTCGTTCATCTGCGTATTTTGGGGGCAATTGGTATTTGCTAAATTTTAGAAGAATTGAGTCATATGAAAAGCACCAAGTATTTTCTATTTGATTTACTTCTAGTTTCATGGTTATACTTAACTGTGCCGGCCAGAAAATTAAGCTTTAGCTCTACACTTGTGAACGTATTGTCATTTTCTTGTAGGCTAGGCATTTGCTTACTGAGTTTGAAAGTGTAGGCTACTAGTATTGTTTGCTTTGTAGTGTTTTTTTTGTTCTTTTTTGCTCGTAGTGTTTTGTTTTTACCTTTTTCCATCCATCGGTAACTATGTAGATCCTTAGTTGGTGGATTCATGTGCGTTTGCCTCGGTGATCTGCGAGTGCGCGAACTGCGCGCCAAATTCCATTGATCTCGATATGGCTCCGCCCAATTTCGCAAACATTGCCTCACTCCTTACTTAGCCTTATCTCGCGTGCTGCCTTTGCTCATATCCTCTCGTTGTTTTTCTTTGTAGTGTTCCTTGCCGCATATTTGTCGTTGTGTCTATTTCTCTTTTGTTTTTTTCTGTGTTGTGGCCTTGTTTGATAAAAGGCTTGTTGAACTGTGGTCTAGTTAGTCAGAACTGCGGTGGAGAGCCGCGTGGGGTACCTAGACAAAACCAAATTTATTTTTTGCACTTTTTCCGCCACTCATTACTTGAGCAAGTCCCGCAATCATTTCTTCAATGCTCTTTGTCGTTTTAAAGGCATCGCCCATCCTAAATTAAGGGTGTTGAGCTTTTGATAGCATATCTTAGTAGGACCCCCTATCAAACCAATGCCCAAGTCGCCGAAAATGTCGTTTCGGAAGCGAGAAATGGCTCCAGAATAACGAAGATGCGTGAGAACCCTTAGAGGCACCTTCTCCCCATCCATCCCGCCCATCCGTGTGCGCCATCCAATCACCGTTCTGGAAGCCGGCTTGTGGGTCCTCCGGAACGGGGATTATCGGGGTTTTTGGGGATTCTCACTCCAAATTCGGAATCAGGGACATGAGAAGGCCATGAAACGACAAAAACCTGGAAGCCGAGAATCTGGGTGGACGATGCCGTTAAGGTGCTAGCGAGATGGACGTTATAGAATGTTTGAGGTCGCAAAGTCTTCTTTTATTTGAAACATCTGCAAACCTTTTGCTAAGGTTTCCTGTTCGAGGAGGGCAGCATAATTTTTCTTTCAGATTGAAATAAAAATTCACCAATGTTTTGGACGTAAGGCCTCGGACAGAGTTCACGCGATTTGGTCGTCGCGATTCAATCACTAAAGACAGGTGTTACGAGTTCATTGGATGCCGATCTTCTTGTAATTCGGTTGTGATAGTTTTCCAACACGACACTACCGAAATACGAGAAGATCGGCATGCAATGAACTCGTAACACTTGTCTTTAGCGATTGAATCGCGACGATTAAATCGCGTGAACTCTGCCCGATGCCTGAAAAGCATGGAAAGCAGTCAAAGTGCTAGCTCATGTTCGACACCTTTGATGATAGTCCACTACAATCATCTTTGAAGAACATTGAGATTTTCAAGAACAATAAGCTCCGAAGTTAAACTCACGGCTTCCTTCTCCCGGCCATTCGGCTTCCTCAGAACGCACTTCAAGCGCGAGGAAGGTAGCAGTGATCTGGAATGAATTGATAGTGAAAATAAAATCATAGATGAAACTCTTACCACAAGTAGATATTGCAGCGAAGGCATCTTCAAACACTTGATACTCTGGTTCCTAATCATCTTTTATATGCTCCAGCTATCGAAGAAATAGTGTAGGTCGCTGCAACCATGACGTGATTTTCCGCATTTTAATGTTGATAATATGAATTTATACTGTAGTTGGGACCTTTAAAATATCGCTATTGTTTCTGTCAAACCAGGAATAGCACTGATTGGCATTAATATTGCGCATAAAGAACACTCATGTTGCTGGTGAGCAAAGACATATTAACTTGTAATTAAAACAGAATTTTTCTTTTGGCGCTTTCATGAAGAATATTGAGGAATTATTGAGAATTGAGAATCTCAATAATATTTCACTTTCACGTTTACTCAGCTTTTTTTCTTTGTAAACGCCAAAAATGTTCACTCATTGGCTTCGCGATTTGGATCTGCTAGGAGATAAAAACATTAGTCAAGTTCAAGCACTACATAGACTATCTCTCTATATTTCAACATGTTAAATTTAGAGCTGCGAGCATGCGAAGCAAGATATCACCTATTCTACGTCTAGGAGACGCGAGACTCCATTGCGGACACTATCTAAATAAGTTTGAGTTTGTTCTTCCCTGTTTCCAAAAAGTGGATAAACCTGGACGAGATAAATAACAAGTACAAACCTCCCAGGTACACGACTAGTCTTGTTTAGACAATGTGTGCTCTAGCGCCTCCTAAACGTAGAATCTTATATATAAAGCTGAATGTCTGTTTGTCTGTATGTCTGTATGTCTGTATGTCTGTCTGTATGTACGTATGTTCCGAATAGAAAATTCCATTTCTGAACCGATCGGGACCAAACTTGGCACACATACACTTTGGGCCCCGGCGGGTGTCATAGGCTACTTTTCGTATCGATCGATATCGATTTTATCGATTTTTTGCAAAATGTGAGCTACGGGGCTGGGAGTTGGCACAGGGGGGTAAGTGAGCATGGGGATTCCGAATACAATATTAGTTTTTAAAATCGTGCATTACTTTTATCGGTTTTATCGATTTTTTGCAAAGTTTGAGCTACGGGGCTGGGGTTTGGCACAGGGGGGTAATCGAGCATGCTGATCACCCCCGTGGGGGTGATCAGCATCCTCGATTACACCCCCTGCCAAATTCCAGCCCCCTAGCTCAAATTTTGCAAAAAAAATCGATAAAATCGATAAAAGTAATGCACGGTTTCGAAAACTAATATTGTATTCGTAACCAGCATGCTCGATTACCCCCCTGTGCCAAATCCCAGCCCCCTAGCTCAAATTTTGCAAAAAATCGATAAAATCGACATCAATCGATAACGAAAAGTGGACTGTGACACCCGCCGGGGCCCGAAGTGCATGTGTGCCAAGTTTGGTTCGGATCGGTTAAGAAGTGGAATTTTCTATTCGGAACATACGGCGGAGCCGGGTATGCCAGCTAGTGAGTGATATGTTGACTGGAAAGAAATGAAGCTATGAGTGGGAAATGAGTTGATGGATACTTTGCGTTGATGGCTATCAGCTTAAAAAGAAGAGAATATCGATTTTAACGGCAAAGCAGCAAGGAGAAGATGAAAATTTGTAAGTGGGCTCCTTTCGATAGAATAAAGCAAGCTTCACAAAATAATTCCTAAATTTTAGTGTAAGTTGCGATCAGGGTTGAAGCAAGGGGTGTGGCACACAATCGCTGGTTACGACCCCCCCCCCTGACTGCTGTCTTAATAAGACCCCCCCCTGAACTATACACTTAAGATAGCATTACTTGAAGGCCCTGTCAAACAAAATGGGCAACATATCCATAATCATGTCAAATAACCCCTGTAGACAAAGTGTGAGCAAATTCGAAGATTCAAGATGCTAGACTACCTAACTGAAATGGTTATTTTCCAACATGATTAACTTTGTTCCAAAGGTGAACTAGCTATCCGTTTTTGCACTCAAGACAAAGCACTACTCCTTTTTTGTCCACATCAGGAATCTCGCTTCAGAAGACCTGCAAACTGTGGATTTAGAAGCCAACCAAAATCTCATTTTTCCCCATATTTCGCTTTTGATGGCTGTGCTTTCACCAAATATTACTCAGAGCTAAGAAGACGAATCAGGCTTTGAACAGTCTGGAATCTACGATGTTTAGGCTATCGATTCATATAAATAATGTCCGCTAAAATTGTTTTTTGATATAGTTAATGCAGTGCGGCACACCCCCTTAAAAGCTGCGGCTGCCGCAGCATTTAAGGGGGTGTGCCGCACCCCATTAACTATATCAAAAAAAAAAACATTTTTAGCAAACCATATTTATATGGATCGATAGCCTAGGTCTTTTAGTTTTCACACCAGTGGTTTGAGCCTGACTCGTCCTTGCTCTGAGTAATAGTTGGTGAAAACACAGCCATCAAATGCGAAAAATGGGAAAAATTAGGTCTTTGTTGGCTTCTAATTCCACATGGAGGTCTTCTGAGGCGGGATTCCTGAGATGGACAAAGAAAGAGTAGCGCTTTGTCTTGAGTGCAAAACGGATGGCTAATTCACCTTTGAAACAATGTTAATCATGTTGGAAAATGACCATTTCACCTAGGTAGCCTAGTATCTTGAATCTTCAAAATTCGCTCATAATTTGTCTACAGGGGTTTTTTGACATGCTAATTATGGATAGGATACGAATATCATGTTATCACTATTATCAGATTACCCAACTACGGCCCCCTCCCCTTTTGACTCCTCAATACACCCCTCAAGTGTGCCGTGCCGCACCCCACGCTTGACCCTGGTTGTGATTGAGGCAAAGTGTGCAACCAACTGTGAGCAATTCTTGACGCAAAAACAAATCTTCGCCCTCAAAAATTCTAAGAATTTCTTACTTGTTCCTGTGTGTATACACGATTTATGACGCGCAAAGACTGGGCACCGTTGCGTCCGGCCAAAATAGTTCGTGCATGGGAGAGACAGCAGATAGTAAGAAAAACGAAAGAGCGCTCGATGACAGAGACGCCGGCACGTCTGCAGTCTTTGCATGTTATGATTCGCCTATAGCAGGTACACGCAGTCATTTATTATAATTACTGCGTTTTTCCCATGGTTCAATCAAGAAAAAAAAAATAAGGCAAACGCCAAACCTACCAATCTCAATCCTTCTGTATGTACAGTTGTGTACCACAACCCTTCGGGACTCTAAATGTAAAATTTTTGGCATTTTTCATGCTTCAGTAAATGCCAAATAACAATTTTGGCAACAAAAAACTCAAAAAAGCGACATTTGATTTGTCAAAACGCAGGTTATGCCAAATGACGAACCCATTTTCACTAGCAGACATAAGCTATGAACAGTCCTGTGCCATTCTGGTTGGTGCCAAACTAATGCGCGCTCTTTTAAGCCGCTTTTCGAACTTCTTTGCCGGACTTTCTTCTTTGAAATCTCTGTTTCCCGAAGGCGTGAACGCGCAAGAAGGAGAGTTCAACCCCCTCCTCTTTCTTGCGCTTTGGAACTACGATCAGAACAAGCTTCTAACCTTTCTGTTATAATTTTCAGAAATAAATAATTCAATCGCATTCACTTTCTTGGGCACAACAAATAATTCAATCGCATTCATTTTCTTGGTCACAACTTAAGCGTAAAGGAATCCTTTCGAAAATATAGCTACAGTAGGTTTCAACTCAGTTTAGCCGGAAATTGGATGGCGGGAGTCCGCTTCGCAACGATTCGCGCCGTTTTGCAGTCTGCATCTCTTCATTCTAATCTATCCCGCTGAGCCCGGACGCGTTGCTCCACCTAGGGCCGCATGCACTAACAACCACGCTGGGGAGGGGATCGCAGCTCAGAAGAAAGTTTCATATTCTGAAGCTCCAGCTATCTAGATTTCACGCTGTCCTGTCCGCAAGTATTCCTACTATCCTTCACTGTGAACTTATTAGGAGCGAGAAGCTGTACAAGCCGCAATTTCCAGCTTTTGTAAGATCCCTGACGATCCCCGGCGCTTTTCTTTGAAGTCATTTTTCTTTCTTTGAAGTTAACGAAAACCTTCCAAAGTTGTACTAATTCTCTAACACAACAGTGCCAAGCATGTTACTGATGAGAACAAATGAGTTAAAAATCGAATTTTTTTGATAAACCACAACTTTCGACTTGTGGTTCATCACAAATTTCATGACTCCGATACATCACTTGTTTTTATCAGCAACATGTAAGCAGTGTTGGGTTAGATAAGCTGCACAACTTTGAAAACTTTTCGTTAACTTCGGAGAAAGAAAAATGACTTCAAAGAAAAGCGCCGGGGATTATTAGGGATCATACAAATGCTGTAAGCTGCGGCTTGTACAGCTTCTCGCTGCTGTTAAATGTGTGCATAGTGAAGGAAAGTAGGGATACTTACGGTTACGTACACAACGTGAAATCCAGATATCTGGAGCTTCAGAATATGAAGCTTTCTTTTAAGCTGCGATCCCCTCCCCACGGGGATGTTAGTGCATGCGGCCCCTTGAGTGTTCGCCTACTCCGGGTTGAAAAAGACTGTATGTTTCTGTTGAGAGTCTGGAAACCTATTTAGTGCACAGTTATTTATCATAAAATCTATGCCAACTCCCAGTCCCGTAGCTCAAAGTTTGCAAAAATCGGTGAAATCCATATCGACCGATAACAAAAAGCAGAGTATGACAATGTCGATCTTTTTAGAAATGAGATCTCCTGTTTTGTGCGTACGTACATCAGCATGTATACAGATAGATATTTAGCTATGTAAGAATTATTTATACTAAATCGGCGTCCCATAGTCGCTGATGGTATTTTGTAAGCCCAGAAACTAGCTCATGAAGAATGCTATACAGGGCTAGGCACAGATCATCTGAAGCAGGCTGGATTCGTTTGTGGAGCAAAAAGCGAAGGAGATGTTGTTTTTGCGAAATCGGGCCGATCAGCAAGAATAAGCGACATTTAGGGTTTCTTCATACTACGCCGCAGGACGAGGCAGCCTGTCGCGTGCGCCGCGTGCGCGGCGTACGCCGTGGCACGCAGCGTACGCTGCTGCAGTCGCG